ATAAAACTCATTTCCAGGAGGTAAATAAGATGTACACGCAGACCACTCAACCCAGGGTGACGCACCCACATACTCTATGGAGATGCATCCCTTGGAGCAATCAACCATGGGGTACCAGAGGGCCAACATTCACACGGAGGAAATGCAGGACACAAAGGAGTTCAAAATTATGAGGGGCACAGGATGAGGTTACTGGGAAGGAGAGGAGGAGGGTGAGTTAGGGTTGGGGATGGTACTTGGGGAGTGAAACGAAAAGTGCATGAAATGTTGAATGTGAAACAAATTCTGCTCTGTAAATTTACACCTAAAGCACAATTAAAAAATAAAATGACAGTCTGGTTTCATGGCTAAGAAAACCCCCAAATCACAGCAAGATCCCTGCTGTCACATTCTGTCTTTGACGTTATCTGCCTCTGAGGGGAACATTCCAAAGCCAGAAGTTCACCTGTCAGAACAAATTCCTGTGAAGTTATAACATTTCTTGAGACTTTGTTTCTTCTTGTCAGCATACTCTGAAAAACTCAAGTCAAAGTAACTGCATTGCATATGATTCCACAGCTGACACCCCTTCAGACTCACAAAGCCCTCACTGCATTTCCTCCAGCACATTCCGTTAGGTATTAACTCCGCCCCTGTGAGCCAAGGATGTAGCTGTATGTTGCTGTTGGTGTTGATTTGATGAGTAACGGAAAGTGCACTGGGCACCATAGAATGAGTGCTTGTGGCTAAAGTGTGAAAGCAGATAGGCTTGCCCTTCCTCACCCACAGGCAGACATATACCACGTTCAGGCCCCACGAGTGAAGACTTCACTTAGTTCTGGGTTTGAGTAATCTGCTGAGCAGCTCATGACCTTATGTTTGGAGTCTGTGACTGAGAAGCTAGATGGGAACATGTGGGGTGTTTGTGGCTCCCAGCCAGGCTCATTGTCTTCTGTCAGGCCACCCCTCCACTGTCCAGCTTGATGGAGAAATATTTGGAGAGTTTAGCAGCATGAAAGCCCCTTTGCATCACTTAGACTGGGGAGCATGGTCAAGGTCTAGAGAAGACAACCACCAGACCACACTGCCCATTAGAGACCCAATTGCCCACAAAATATGTGCTGGAGTCTCGACCCCTGTCCCTGTGGATGGAATCCCATTTGGGAACAGGATTTTCTTTGTTGTGTTAATGGGGCCATATTAGTGTAGGGTGTATCTTCAACCTAATCATTTTTGAGATATAAGGGAGCAGCACCAACGGGAAAAGATAGACACCATGTGGAGATCACCAAGGAACCCAGGGACACTGGGGCTAGAGAGGCTGAGACAAGGATGTTCCCCTAGAGCAGGCAGAGAGAGATCCTCCCCTGGAGCCAAAAAAAAAAAAGCAACAACAAACCAAACTCACCACTATCCAGTCGAATCCGACTCATAGCAACCCCCTTTGGGTTTCCAAGGTGGTAAATCTTTACAGAAGTAGATTGCTCAGTCTTCCTTCCATGGAGTGGCTGGTGGGTTTGAACTACCAACTTTCTGGTTAGCAGTCAAATGCCTTAGACACTATGCCACCAGAGCTCCTTTCCTCTAGAGCCAGTGCCCTGAATTCAGGCTGCTAAAAGGAGCTCTGGTGGTGTAGTGGTTAATGCACTTGTATACTAACCAAAAAGGTTGCTGGTTTGAACCCACTAGCCACTCCATGCAAGAAAGATGGGGCAGTCTGCTTCCATAAAGATTTACAGCTTTAGAAACCCAATGGGGGTTGCTGTGAGTCAGAATCACCTCAGTGGCAGTGAGTTTTTTTGGCTTAGCTTCCTATGGGACAATGCTACAATGAGCTCAAACATAATAATGATTGTGGGATGGCACAGGACTGGGCAGTGTTTTGTTCTGTTGTACATAGGATTGCTATGAGTCAGAGCCAATTGAACAACACCTAACAACAATAACAAGCTTTCTAAACTGTGAGAAAATGTTTCTATTGGTTAAGGCCACCTACTTGTGATATTTCTGTTATAGCAGCACTAGAAGGCTACGACAGCCCCCACAACAGAGGGAGCTCAGTTACATGCCCCGATACATACCATGCCAAGCAAGGGCCCTTTGCTGAGCAGCCCAGCCCAAAAAGCACAGCTTCTGACACACCCACTCCCCTGCAGTGGAACCTGTGCTGGCCACTCCACCTGCCCACCCATCCACGCACCGTGGCCACCATCCATGCTAGGAAGATGGCACCTGGTAGAGAGCAAGGGCTATGATGACTGAAGGAAGGAGTAGGAGTGGGGATGGCTCTGCACAAAATGGGTGTGATGCCCATGTCAGATTGTATCATCTCTTCTGATGGCAAGACCCTCTCAAACAAAACTGAGAGCACTTTGTTTTTGGTGAAAATATACACAGCACATCATACCCATTCAACAGTATAGTTCAGTGACATTGGCTACATTCTTCATGTTGTATCAGAACACAACAAAGCTATCTAAACAACAGAGCTTTCTTGTCACCAGGGAGAAAAGTATGAAGATACTACAGCTAATGGCAAAAACATCTCAGATGGTCTGCAGCTTTCCCCATGGTGCTTTGGTTTCAACACCAGGAGTGGGACGGGAGGAAAGCACTATGACAAGGAAAGTGAAAGATAGGAAATTGTGTTAGGAACAATCCAATTGACCCCATACCCCATGTCCTCCAACCATCTGATTACAGAGCCATGTGATAGGAACAATGTCACCTACACTCAGATCTGGGAAAAAGTAGAATAAAAATCTCATTATCACTTTGGACAGGAATTACATGAGAATGAACAAGCTCAATTCAATGAGCAAGTCTCTGTACTGCTGCTGCTCCCCCCCCCCCATTACAATGCTCAAAAGGAGCACTCGGCTGCTAACAGAAAAGTTGGCAGTTCAAACCCACCAGCCACTCCACAGGAGAAAGATGTAGGAGTTTGCTTCCATCCAAATTGAGGTTGTTATGTGTTCATTATGACTCTGAGTGCAATGGAACAAAACACTACCCAGTCCTGCACCATCCTCACAATCATTGCTACATTTGAGCCCATCATTGCAGCCAGTGTGTCAGTCCATCTCATTGAGGATCTTCCTCTTTTTATTTGACATTCTAGTTTACCAAACATATCCTTCTTCAGGGACTGATCCCTCCTGATAACATGTCCAAAGTATGTGAGATGAAGTCTTGCCATCCTCACTTCTGAAGAGCATTCTGGCGGAACTTCTTCCAGACAGATTTATTCATTCTTCTGGCAGTCCATGGTATAGTCAGTATTCTTTGCCAACATCATAATTCAAAGGCATCAGTTCTTCTTTGGTCTTCCTTATTCATTACCCAGCTTTCACATACAGACAAGACAACTGAAAATACCACAGCTTTGGTCAGGCATACCTTAGTCCTCAAAGTGACATCTTTATTTTTTAACACGTTAAAGAGGTCCCTTCAGCAGATTTACCCAATGCAATATGCCACTTGATTTCCTGACCACTGCTTCCTGAGCCTTGATTGTGGATCCAAGTAAAAAAGAAATCCTTGGCAATTTCAATCTTTTCTCCACTTAGCCTGATGTTGCTTATTGGTCCAGTTGTGAGGATTTTTGTTTTCTTTTTGTTGAGGTGTAATCCATACTGAAGGCTGTAGTCTTTGATCTTCATTAGTAAGTGTAAGGCCACAGTAAGGAGAAAAGGACGCACAAAGGTGAGGTTAAAGAGAAGTTTTTATTCTGAGTTTCCAGGGGAGGTTTACGGGCCCCCGAGAGGGGCCCGGGCGAGGTTCACGGGTCCCTGAGAGGGGCCCGGGAAGTTGCACTGCCTGGCTGGGGAGGGGAGGGTTTATAGTCTTGTGGAGGACCTAAGCGGGGACACTAAGGAAATGGTGGGGTCCAATTAGCTGTTAGCATGGGTCTGCACTTAATTAGCATGAGGGGGCTTCACAAGAGGAAGTTTGCCACTGCATGTCATTTCCATCACATACATTTATGTGCAGCTATTTCCAAGTGTCAGTTGAATTAGGATCATCCTTTTGGTTAGTAAACAAAGCAGCCCCCCAAAGTGATGTCTCCGTAGCACATATATACTGGATCTGCATAGCCCGTGTAAAGACATCTATCTGCACAGCATGTGTAGCTTAGCACACAGCTGAGCAGGCTGCAGGCTCCGGCGAGTGTTCTGTTTGGAGGACTGCATCAGGCTGTCTCATCAGGGCTTGATACCCGGAGGAAGTTGCTAACTGAAATGTTGGTGGCTTGGGTTTGCTTCGGCCTAACAGTAAGTACTTCAAGTCCTCTTTATTTTCAGCAAGCAAGGTTGTGTCATCTGCATATCTCAGGTTGTTAATGAGTCTTCCTCCAATCCTGATGTTGCATTCTTCTTTATATAGTCCAGCTTCTTGGATTATTTGCTGAGCACATAGATTGACTAAATATGATGAAAGGATCCAACCCTGATCCAGCCCTTCCTGATTTTAAGCCATCCTCTTGTTCTGCTTGAACAACTGCCGCTTTGTCTATATATAGGTTCCTCATGAGCACAATTAAGTAAGTGTTCTAGAATTCCCATTCTTCACACTGTTATGCATAATTTGTTATGATCCACACAGTCAAATGTCTTTGTGTAGTCAATAAATATTACGTAGTCAAGTAAAGATTGCAACCTTGGAAACCCTATGGGATAGTTCTACTCTGTCCTATACATTTGCTGTGAGTCATCATTGACTCAACAGCAACAGTTTTTTTTGGGGGGGTGGGGGTGGGGTTCAGTTATTTCTATCATAAACATTTTACATGTAACCATCTCAACCCATTGGTTAAATTAGGATCATCCCTTTGGGAAGTCAGTAAATATGTTTGTGCTACAAATAAACAAACAGCAAAGCTTCCTGTGTCCAGGGAAAGCAGGGCTTCTGGAAACAGATTCCAGCCCAAGGAGAAATCCAGTCCCTGTCCTGAGAGATGGCACTGCAAGCTTCCCCTGTTTCTCCTGTTCTCCTTCAAGTCCCAATGTGCCTTCTTCCAGCCCTACAAGCAGTGCAACATGCTGAGTGCCGACACCACCCGCAACCTCATGATTTGCTTCCTCTGGATCATGAAAAACGCAGATCAAAGCCTTATTCGGAAATGGATTGCTGACCTGCCATCAATGCAGCTAAACAGGATTTTAGACCTGCTTTTCATCTGCGTCTCCTGTTTTGAGTACAAGGTGAGGGTGAGGCGGCTCTGTTGTGTGCCTGCTCTTGTCCCCCATGCTCAGAACTGTCCTGTGACTGCCGCCTTTGGGCCACAGAGGCATCTTTAGCTTTTCTTATTTCTGTGCTCACATCCGTAACCTGTTTGTTTCATGAATTTGGTCAGTCATTCCATAGGCAAGTGGTGTTGGTCTAATCCTGGTCATTTCCATCACATACATTTATGTGCAGCTATTTCCAAGTGTCAGTTGAATTAGGATCATCCTTTTGGTTAGTAAACAAAGCAGCCCCCCAAAGTGATGTCTCCATAGCACACATATACTGGATCTGCATAGCCCGTGTAAAGACATCTGCACAGCATGTGTAGCTTAGCACACCAGCTGAGCAGGCTGCAGGCTCTGGCGAGTGTTCTGTTTGGAGGACTCCTCCCTGCACTGAGATCTCACCCACTGAAATGAATTCCTCCTCTGTCCTGTCCAGGGAAAGCAGAGCTCCGACAAGGTCAGCACCCAAGTCCTGCAGAAGTCCAGGGATGTCAAGGCTCGGCTGGAGGAGGCGCTGCTGCGTGGCGAAGGGGCCCGAGGAGAGATGATGCGGCGGTGCCGGGCTCCTGGTGTGTGGCTGGGGTGGGCTCCAGGTGTGGGGGTGAGGTGTGGGGCTCCAGGGGTGGGGGTGAGGGTCAGGAGCTTTGAGCCCTTTGTTGGGGGTGCTGCCTTCCAGTGTGAGTAGACACCATCATTTTTTTGAGACATTTATGGAAATGTCAAAGAGACAATGGTTCTAAAAGTTTAGTTCTCAGAAGGAACTGCTGTCCCAAGAGCCCAGGAAACCTAGAAATATTCCCACATGGCATCTTCTAATTCAAACTGGTGGGATGAGGTGGTGTATCAATCAAGGCTGCAGCCTCTCTGGGCCCATTTAACTAGTCTGGCTAGACTGTCTAGTCCCTGACTATTGCAAATAGTTAACATGCTTGACTGTTAAACAAAATGCTGAAGGTTCAAATCCACCCAGAGGTGAAGAAAGTCCAGATAATCTACTTCCAAAAAATCAGTCATTGAAAAGCCTGGGGGTGCAGTTCTACACTGACACACATGGGGGTGCCTGGTGTGCAGCGCGGCCTGACCTCGGCCAGGGGAGGCTTGCAGCACAGACTCTCCTTAGTGGAGGAGTAGTGCTGTATCGGCTCCTCTGAGCTTGTTAGGGAACCTCTGGTTATCTGGGAAGGTTTCCTGCTAATCAAATTCCTATCATACTTTTCTTAACTTCTAGGGAATGACCGATTTGCAGGCCTCAGTGAGAACTTGAGATGGAAGAAAGAGCAGACACATTGGCGGCAAGCTAATGAGAAGCTAGATAAGTAAGACACTTGGCAACTGTGCTACCTTTACCTAAAATCTAAAACTTTTCTTCCCAGGCTACTTGCATTACTGAAACAACAACATCCTTCCAAATGTAAAGCATAATTGTCTGTGCAGATGCAGTTCACCCCAGGTGGGATAATCAAAGGAATTATGATTGCCAGCTTTTAACATTTATCACACTGATAAACATTTGGAGAAAACTGATATGTAGCAGGCTTGAATAGTTTAGCACATGCAACAGATGGGGGAGGGGAGGCAGAGAAACAAATGGAAGAAGCTGGCCAAGACCATAGCTTTTCAAATCTAATCTCCACCAGCGAAATGTGCATAAGGATGTATAAGAACTGTTCTGGTTACCTAGTGCTGCTCTGACAAGGATATATACCACAAATGGGATGGTTTTAACAAATAGGAGTTTATTCTTAAAATTTGGAGGCTTTAAGTCCGAGTTCAAAGTGCCAGGCTCTAGGGGCGGGGTGAAAGCCCCTCAACCTTGGGTTGCAGCTCTGCCTCCTACTCCCAGCCCACTGGAGCTGGAGGCTTTTCTTCACTCAGGCAGGCCATTAATCCAAGTTGATTGAAAGTCCCGAGATCGGCAGAGCATGGAAGGCTGCTGAACGACAACATGGCTACATGTAGTGTTCAAGCGTACCATAAGCTAGAGACCATTCCCAAAGGTGTTTCTTACATATGGGAAGCAGACCACATACCCAAAGGCAGCTACTCAGCTGCTCACAGTAGATTCCACCATGGACTTGATTACCAGTCTCATCATGGGGAATACTACTACTACATCCAGCTACCCAGCCACTCAACCAGGCCCAGCCAAGTTGACACACAAACTTAACTATCACAAGAACCAAAACCAAATTCACTGCCGTCAAGTTGTTTCCGACTTGGGTTTCCTAGGCAGTATCTCTATGGAAGTAGATTGTCAAATCTTCCTTCAGGGGTTTTCATGTCAGCATTATATAAGTTGTGGAAAACAAACAAACAAACAAAAAGTAGGGGGACATAATCTTGAGTCTCTAACTGCATATATGTAGATAAAAAAAGGCTGGAAGGAAATTTAGGAAAATATTAACAATGGTTTCCTTGAGTATTAGGAATATAGGTAGGTGGTGTTTTCTTCCTTATAGTTGGCAGTTTTTCCTATAGTGGATGTGTATTTTTATCAGAAAAAATTACAAGAAATGGAAGAAGAATAATCCTGTTTGACTTTCAATATAGGGTCTATATACATAGAAGGAGCCCTGATGGCACAATGGTTAAGTGCTCAGCTGGTAATTGAAAGGTTGGCGGTTCCAACCCACCCGGCAGCTCTGTGGGAGAAAGCCCAAGTGACGTGCTCCTGTAAAGACTGCAGCCAGGATAACCCTCTGAGGCAGTTCCACTCTCTCACATGGCTTCGCTGTGAGTCGGAATCAACACCACCCCAAAACAACACTAATAGATGGATGATGGATCTATAGATATAGATATATATTTCGTATATGCAGCAATTTAGACATATGAAGACATACGAAATGGAATGTGTTTGAATAGATAACAGTCTCCTCCTCCTGTTAACAGCAGGTATCCTTTTGAATCTCAGGGTTCCCTGAGCAAAGAATTGTACGGTTAAAGGACCCCCAACTGGATGAGACACAGCTCGGGCATCCTCTAAAGAACCCATCCTAAGGAGACAGCGAGTGGGTAGAGCTGAACAGCAGTGGTGTTTTGTAAATAACTGAATATCTTGTTACCACATGCATTAGTCCCCCAGGGCTGCTATAACAAATTACCACCAAGAGTGGCTTAAAACAACAGAAATTTATTCTCTCACAAAATAAAAGTAAAATAAACAAAACACAAACCAAACCCACTGCCATCAAGTCAATTCTAACTCATAGTGGCCCTATAGGACAGAGTAGAACTGCCCCGTAGGACTTCCAAGGCTCTAAATCTTACTGAAGCAAAATGCTTCATCTTTCTCTCATGGAGCGACTGTGGGTTCAAGCCACCAACCTTTTAGTTGGCTGCCTAGTTTTAACCACAGCACCACAGAGCTTCTTTCTCTGGAGGCAGAAGTCCAAAATAAGGTATCAGCAGGACCTTACTCTCTCTTAAGGCTCCAGGGAGAAAACTCCTTTGCTTCTTCCATCTTCTGATGGACCCAGGTGTTCGTAGCTTGGGGCAACATCACTCCCATCTCTCTGTGTGCTTGTGTCTTTTTTCCTTCTTTTTATAAGGACATGGCTTGTCCTGGATTAGGGCCCACCTTGTCCCAGTATGACCACGTACTAATTTAACACATTATGGCTGCAAAGACTTTATTTCCAAACAAGGCCATGGTCATGGAGAGAAAAGGGTGTTGGGACTTCTACATTTCATTTTGCAGGACCCATTTCAATCCCCAACACCACAGGAATGAACAATCTGATCCACTTTGTAGGACTTCTGGGAGTTAAATTTATTTTAACACGTTATAGAAGTGAGCACTCTTATTACAGATATTACTTGGAAGACCCAGATGATGGGTGTATTATTAATAACCATTTGCTTTGAATATTTTATTTTTGCTCTGAACTCTCTGGACCGATTTATAAAATATTCAATTCTGAGAATCTATATGTTCAAGTTCAGGTGATGAATAACAACCAAACAATGCATGCAACGAGTGCTCCAGTAGTTAGGACATCAACTCTGCAGGATTAAAAGAAGAGTCTAGCAAGGCATACATCACCTGGGTTGTGCAGACTGTCAGTGGGGCCTTGAGTGTTGCTATGATGCTGAGCAGGTTTCAGCAGAGCTCCTAGACTAAGACTAGGAATTAAGGTCTGGCAACTATTCCTGAAAATCAGCTCATGAAACCTTATGGATCACAATGGTCTGACCTGTAACTAGTCATGGGGATGACTCAGGACCTGGCAGTATTTCATTTCATGGGGTCACCATGAGTCACAGGCCAATTCCACGGCAGCTAACAGTAATAACATCAACACAATATTGGGCCTCACCATGCACCACCTACCAGACCAGTCCTCAGACCAGAGTTCTATGATAATTGGCTCATTGTCAGAGCTGATGGGTCACATCTGCAGTCTCAGGGGCATTGTCAGTGTGTAAAGGGAAACCCCACTGACATTGTGACTGCTCAGTGTAGTTATTCAGAAAACCTTTTGTAATTACAATAGTGCAGAAAACCTTTTGTAATTACAATAGTGGTGTTTTTCACTTTTTTACTTCATATCATTTTTTCACCTCCAGACCACTTTTCAGTTATTTTGCCTTTGTTTCTTTTAGAGTGACAGTTTTCATTCTGGGCTGCACACTAGGATCTCCTGGGAAGCTTTAAAGGATCCCAGTGTCTAGGTGGAGCCCAGACCAGTTCAATTAGAGTCTTCAACAGCAGGACCTAGGATTCAGTGTTTTATAAAACTCCCCAATTGACCTCATTGTGCAGCCAAATTTGAGAACTACTGTTGAGAGGAATATCTGGTAGACTTCATAAAAAGCAGATTATGACATGCTGTCCAGTACAGTAGCCACTAGCCACATGGGGCTTGGAATGTGACTAGGTAGAATTGGGAGGTGTTAAAAGTGAAAAAAGGAGCCCTAGCGGCACTTGTCGGAAGGAAGGTTGGGCAATCCTACTTCCGTAGTGATACTGCCTGGGAAACCCAAGGAGGGGTCGCTATGAGTCAGGGCTGACTCGACGGCACATAACAACAACAACAACAACAGCGGCACTTGACTGCTAACCAGAAGGCTGGCGGTTCAAACCTACCAGTCACTCCTCAGAAGGAAGATGGAGCAATCTACTTCTGTAGTGATAGTGCTTCAGCAACCCAAGGAGGGGTCGCTATGAGTCAGGTCCAACTCAATGGCACATAACAACAACAACAGTGGTGCAATGGTTAAACACGCAGCTGCTAACCCAAATGTCAGCTGTTTGAACCCACCAGTCACTCTGAAAGAGAAAGACCTGGCAATCTGCTCCCATAAAGATTACAGCCTAGAAAACCCTATGGGGCAGTTCTACTCCACTACATGGGGTCACTATGCGTCGGAATTGACTTGATAGCATTGAGTTTGACTCCTCGGAAGGAAGGTTGGGCAATCCTACTTCCGTAGTGATACTGCCTGGGAAACCCAAGGAGGGGTCGCTATGAGTCGGGGCCGACTCAACGGCATGTAACAACAACAACAACAAGCCCAGTATATCACAAGTATTATCAACATGTAACCAATATGAAAATTACTAGTGAGATATTCCACATTCTTTTATTCTTACTAAGTCTTCACAATCTGATGTGTATTTTTTTTACTTATGTTGTTGTTAGCTGCCTTCAAGTCAAGCTCATGTTGACCTCATACACAATGAGATTAGACCATTGTGATCTATGGTGATGGTGGTTGTTGTTAACCAAAACCAAACTCGTTGCCATCAAGTCAATTCCGACTCATAGCAACCTGATAGGACAGAGTAGGCCTGTGCCTATGATACTGTAAATCTTTAAGGAAGTAGACTGTCACATCTTTCTCCCTCAGAGCGGCTGGTGGGTTTGAACCACTGACCTTTCAGTTATCAGCCAAGCACTTAACCACTGCACCACCAGTGCTCCCTGACAGGCACATAAACCCCCAAAAAACCCAAACCCATCACCACTGGGTTGTTGGGTCAATTCTGACTGATAACAAACCTATAGGACAGAGCAGAACTGCCCGATAGGGTTTCCACAGCTGTAATCTTTGTGGAACCAGAATGCTACATCTTTCTCCCATGGAGTGGCTGGTGGATTTGAATGGCTGACTTTTTGGTTAGCAGCTGAGCACTTTAACAATTGTACCACCAGGCTTCGTCTACCCTACCACTAAATTAATAAAAAAAAACTACGTTTTAGATTTTCACTTCACAAAATTATTATCACTTAAAGAACGTAGAGGAAGAAATGAAGAACAACTCAGGAGAGGCATGAAACATTTCACACACATGAAAGTGCTTATTCTGAGCCCGTAATGGTCTGGGAGCATGGAAGCATCTGAAGTGGCCCCAGGATTGGGTTGAGGAGACTGGAGAAATGCTAAGTGACAGTCCCAGTCCCAGACTTTTGAGCTGATGCATGGCATCCTAGCCCCTGTGGCACTGGCAGATCTTGGGAAGGTCAGTTCTTCACACACCCCTTTCCTGGCAACTGCATCTTCCCGGGGGCACAAATATCCCTTACCAGCCTCACATGGATTTTATGAAGATGCATAAACTAGTGCATTGAACACTGATTCCTTAAAATGACACCTAACTGAGAAGCAGTGCCAGGCAATTTCCCATTCCATAGTGGGCAGTGAAGGAGCCCTGGTGGCATAGTGGTTAAGTGCTCTCAGCTGCTGACTGAAAGGTTGGTGGTTCAAACCCACTAGCTATACCATGGGAGAAAGATGTGACAGTCTGCTCCTCTAATGATTACAGCCATAAAAACCCTGAGGGCAGTTCTACTCTGTTGTACAGGGTTGCTGTGAGTCATAGTCAACTCAACAGCAACAGGTTCAGTTTCTGGGTTTAGTGGGTAATGGGACTGCTAGTGGGTTAGTAGTGGGCTACTAACCCACAGGTTGGCAGTTCAAACTTACCCAGTGGCACCATGGTAGAAAGGTCTGATAATCTGCTTCTATAAAGATTACAACCAAGAAAACTGATGGAGCTCAGTTCTATTTTATAACACATGGGACTCTATGAGTCAGGATAGACTCGATGTCAGGGTTAGTTTAGTGGGTGATGGGAATCCCTAAGTGGTACAAATGCTTAAGGCACTTGCTGAGCTGCTAACCCAAAGGCTGGAGGATCAAGTCCACACAGGGATGCCTCGGAAGAAAGGCTTGGCAGTCTGCTTCTGTAAGATTACAGCCACGAAAACCCTATGGAACACGGTTCTACTCTGACACACTTGAGGTCCCATGAGTCAGAGTCAACTCCATGGCAACTGGTCATGGGTAATACCACTGATGTCCAGCACAATGGCAGATGACCTGCCCCACAGGGATGCAGCTTTGGTTCCCATAGGAAATGGATGCAGCCAGTCCTTGTTTTCATTCAAGGCTGACTGTTCTGGAGATTTCTTTACGCTCTGGTGCATACAGGGCCATTGTTGGAATATGTCCAGGTTTGATATACGCTTAACTTTGACCTCTTTTTGTTTTCTAGATCAAAAGCAGAGTTAGACCAAGAGGCCTTGATCAGTGGCAACCTGGCAACAGAAGTGAATTTAATCATCTTGGATATGCAGGAGAATATCATCCAGGTGAGGCAAGGAATGCCGACTGATTCCACAAGAACATGTTTACAGGAATTTAATAGGAGTGCTTTATGCAGGGTTGTGAAGGAAATAAGCTGGATCCCAAAGTGCTTTTTTTAAAAAAATGAAGTTGGGAAGTTTGCTGTTTGCTATAGTGTTCACCTTACAGATTCCAGAAATATCAAACATTTTTCTGGCGTCTTTGAGTTGCTGTTCACTTGGAAAGGGTTGCCTCACAAGCTGGCTCTTGTGGCTAAGTATACCAGAGTGTGTCCCAAGCTTAAAATGTGGATAGTGAGCTTATAGTTCATTATCTACAACAAGGGAGGCAAATAGATTTCTTCTGATGGGTCCTACTCCAGTTGATTGATGCAGCCATCAGTCCTGCCTGATCATCAGGCTATGACTGGGCTAAGTTGAAAAAAAAAAAAAGAAGAAGAAGAAGAAGAAGAAGAAAGAGTACTGCGTTTGATAAATGATGATGGTATCTGCTTCCGGCACAAACTGGGGACAGGCAGGCATCTGTGCCATGTGTTTGCCTGTAGCAAAGTATAGTGTCCCTGTGAACTTTGTGATAACACAATTTGCCATCCTAATTTTATCTTCTAAGCGGATGTTTCCAAAAACTCCCAAGTCTAGGTTATACTGGATTTTTTGTTACACTGAAAAATGAGCCCATTGGAACTTTATGAAGTTCCATTATTATTATTATTTCCATTATTAAGTCCAATAGAAGAATGTTTCTATTGAGAAATCATTTATTAGACTAAATCTAGTATTGACTTTAGGGCTAGAAGACATACTGTTGAAGCAGTACCCCCTTCCTTATCCAATTACTCACCAGCCACTCCTTGGAAGGAAGGTAGGGCAATCTACTTCGGTAGAGATACCGCCTGGGAAATGACTCAACAGCACATAACAACAACAACAGCAAAACTCAAAGTAATTATTATATGAAAGCAAAGACACACTGGAGTTTTCGAACAAGGTCATATGGAAATACGCCTTCAGCTCTCAGGGTTGATGGCTGATAGTGTAAGACTGGGAGATGGGGCCATCGATCTCGGTGCTGATCACCACAGGTGTCAGTGGTAGAGGGCAGGGATCAACGGTGCTGTTTTTCCATTCCCCCAGGCCAGCTCGGCGCTGGACTGGAAGGACAGCCTGCTGGGAAGCGTCCTGAGGGTCCTGGTGAACTCTCTGAGCTGCGATCAGAGCACCACTTACCTGACTCACTGTTTCGCGACACTCCGAGCTCTCATTACCAAGGTAAAGACAGCAAGTTTGTTTCCTGGCTCTTAATTATGACTAGGATTCAACTAGTGTCACACTTCTGTGTCCAGGTGGCCAAACCCCACAGAGTATATGAAGTGTATAATGTCTCCTCAGGGGGAAGTGACTCCACAGAAGGTCAACACAATCAGGGAAAGCAGTGGTTCTCACAGCTGAAATGTGGGCCCAGTTGTAGACATTTGAAACAGCCATTCATGGAGGGTCTAAGACATGAGCATAGAAATCAGTCAAGTATCTTTCCATTTCATCTTGTTTAACATCTGCTCTAAGTGTGATGGAAGGAGCCCTGGCGGTGCAGTGGGGATTACTTTTTCCCTTTTACTTAAAGTCTTGGATGGTGCCTTCTACATGGGATCTTTTAAATTTAAAGTAGAATTCTCCTGCTCTCCATGATCAAGGCCACTTTCTCTTTCTGGTCACCAGTAATTTCCAGGAGACCCAGGAAACTGAGGGTAATCCCTTGAAAGTTGTGGCTTTGCAAATGAATGCGACCTGGGTAGCAATGGCGGGTTAATAATGTAGCCCTTAATGTGCTCAGCTGCTAGCCAGAAGGTTGGAGGTTGGAGTCCACCCAGAGGTGCCTTGGAAAAAAGGCCTGGCAATTTACTTCTGAAAATCCCACAGAGCACAGTTGTACTCTGAAACAAGTGGGCGCTCCAGGAATCAGAGTTGACTTATTGGCCACTGGCTTTTACCTTCACTGTTGTACAATTAGTACTGAAATCTGAGTCATCGCTGTTGCTTCAACCCATCCCCTGACTCAGGCAGCTCATTATGTTTCTGGAGCGATGCATTAAAGCTCCTGGGCTTCTGGTTTTCCCACGAAGACATTTGCACATTTTAACAGGCTGCTAACGCAGCCCGCGGGTGGATGTGCGGAGCACCAGCTAACAGTCCCTGCGTCTCTCCTAGTTCGGGGACTTACTGTTCGAGGAGGAGGTGGAGCAGTGTGCAGACCTCTGCCAGCGCATGCTGCACCACTGCAGCAGCAGCATGGACGTCACCCGGAGCCAAGCCTGTGCCACCCTCTACCTACTCATGAGGTTCAGCTTCGGAGCTGTCAGCGTGAGAGCTCAGACCCGCTGGGCACCTGGGGTCAACAGTCAGAGATAGGGCCAGGCACTGAGCCAGAGGGAAAACAGAAACCCAAGTCTGCAGTATTCCTGTTTGCTTCTGTGAGAAAAAACAATAGAGTGTGTCTAGGTAGACAGGAAAGGAGATTTGGTGGCACTGTGGTTAAAGCTGGGCTGCTAACCAAAAAGGTCAGCTGTTCAAACCCTCTGGCTGCTCTGTGGGAGAAAGACAAAGCTGTCTGTTTCCATACAGATTTACAGCTATGGCGGTACTACTCTGTCTTAAAGGGTTACCTTGAGTCAGAATCAACTCAGTGGTAGTAAGTTTGGTTTTTTTGGAGGTAGACAGCATCTTGGTTTGAACTGCATATAAAAGTGACTATCAAAACAGTAACTGTAGTGGTTTCCATCAGTATATTTCAGTAGGAAATGATTGAATCTATGTAGATGCAAAATTATCAGCTATAGAGGGAAATGCAACAGGCAGGGTAAGAATTCCAAAGATGTTGTCCGGTAGTCTAGATTCTGACTGGCTGACAGCAGAGAAGCCTGTGAAAGAGAATTTTAAATCATTAGTACCTGATGGACCCAAGTTTTCACCAGAGCTTAGCAGCCTCTGGAGGTCAGCTTGGTGCAGACAGTCAATCCTTCTCTTGTGTGTCTAAACCTGGGTCTGTTTTCTTGGAATTTCCATTTGTGGTCATGTTCATGAGCACATTTGAATGATAGTAAAAGATAAATTGGCCCATGGAAGGAAGGCCAGGACTTCAGTGTATACAAGGGATGACTATTTGAAAGTCTGTAGGACATTCCTCAGGGACCCTTTAGGGTAGCCATATTTTTCCATGGGTCTAGAAGGAAAGGGGGAACAGAAAGTGGCTACTTGCCTGTAGTCTGAAATTGGAGAAATCCTTGCCCTGAGGATGCCAGTTCTCGCTGAAGTTTAAATACAGCCCCAAGAAGAGGAATTTTGACACAAAAGGATAAAGCCTGTGGCCCAACTTTGTAGGAATATTCTAGCCTTCCAGCGTGGAGGCAGCCCAATCCTAAATTAAAATTTAAAGGGAGGCTGGCAGTACAGGGCATGATTTATGTCTGAGTGCTATTCATTTAAACAATAAGATGACTCTAGTGCAGAGTGTGGCTTACATTTCATTGAAAGGAGAGGAAAGGAAATGAGGCAGACTTGTGGGGATGGGTGTCTGGCTCCACCATCTTCTTTTATCTAACAGCTGAGTGCCTCTTCTTTGTTCCTTTTTCTACCTGGTGCAGAACTTTGCAAGAGTAAAGATGCAGGTAACTATGTCTCTGGCATCTTTGGTGGGTAAAGCACCAGACTTTAATGAGGAGCATCTGAGAAGATCCTTGAGGACGATTTTGGCCTACGCAGAAGAGGACACAGCCATGCAGGCCACTCTCTTCCCCACCCAGGTAGGCCAAAGGGCAGGGCTGGTCTTCAGGGTTTGGCATCAGCTAATTGTAAACTCACAGATACACTGTCTCCGTGAGTCAGAATCAACCTGATGGCAACTGGTTATATACATACATGTACACAGACATATGGTTGTTTGGTGCCATCAGGTTGGTTCCAGTTCATAGCAACCTTGTGTACAATAAAAGGAAACAATCATTGCTATGTTTGAGTCCATTGTTGTATATGTCAATCCATCTTGTTGATGGTCTTCCTCTTTTTCATTGACCCTCTACTTCACCATGTATGACATCCTTTTCCAGGGACTGGTCCCTCCTGATAACATGTCCAGAGTCTGTGAGACAAGGTCTTACCATTCTTGCTTCTAGGTAGCATTCTGGCTGTACTTCTTCCAAGACTACATATAGGTACATATATACATATACATACATACATATATATATATATGTATGTGTGTGTGTGTGTGTGTGTATGTATTTTTTTTACCATAAGTTGGAATTAGCCCAACGGCAATAATTTTATATATATTCAAATATATATGTAAGCTCTTGTGGCATAGTGCATAAGGCATTTGACTGCTAACCAGAAGGCTGGCAGTTCAAACCCACCAGGCACTCCTCAGAAGGAATGTTGGGCAATCTACTTCCATAGTGATATTGCTGCCTTGGAAACCCAAGGAAGGGTTGCTATGAGTCAGATCTGACTCAATGGCAGTGGGTTTGGTTTATATATATATATATATATATATATATATATATAATCTGTCGGTTTGTCATACTGTGGTGGCTTGTGTGTTGCTGTGAGGCTGGAGACTATGCCACCAGTATTTCAAATATCAGTAGAGTCACACATGGTGGACAGGTTTCAACAAAGTTTCCAGACTAAGACAGACTTAGAAGAAGGAAGGGGCCATCCACTTCTCAAAGTATTGGCCAGTGTGAAAACCTTATGAATAGCAGTGAAACACTGTCTGATACATTACTGGAAAACTTTATGAATAGCCCTGAAACATTGTCCCATGTAGTGCCAGAAGTTGAGCCCCTTAGGTTGGAAGGCACTCAAAATGCGACTGGGGAAGAGCTGCCTCCTCAGAGTAGAGCTGACCTTAATGATGTGGATGGAGTAAAGCTTTTGGGACCTCCATTTGCTGATGTGGCATGACTCCACATGAGAAGAAACAGCTGCAAGAATCCATTAATAATCAGAGCATGGAATATACAAAGTATGAGTCTAGGAATATTGGAAGTTGTCAAAAATGAAATGGAATGCATAAAGAGAGATATCCTAGGCATTAGTGAGATAAAGTGGACTGGTGTTGGACATTCTGAATCAGATAACAAAATGATCTACTGTGCTGGGAATGACAAATTGAAGAGGAATGGCATGGCATTCATCATCACAAAGAATGTTACAAGATCTGTCCTGAAGTACAATGCTGCCAGTGGTAACATAATATCCATATGCCTATAAGGAAGACCAGTTAATACTACTATTATTCAAATTTACACACAAACCACCAAAGCCAAAGATGAGGAAATTGAAGATTTTTACCATCTTCTACAGTCTGAAAGTGACCAAACATGCTATCAAGATGTGTTGATTATTACTGTTGGAATGCAAAAATTGGAAACAGAGAAGAATCACTGGTAGTTGGAAAATATGGCCTTGGTGATAGAAATGGCACTGGAGATCGCACAATAGGATTTTGCAAGACCAACAACTTATTCATTGCAAATACTTTTTCAACAACATAAATTGTGGCTATACACATGGACTTCACCAGATGGAGCACACAGGAATCAGATCAACTACATCTGTGGAAAGAGGCAATGGAGAAGCTTAATATCTTCAGCTAAAACAAGGCCAGGAGCTGACTGTGGAACAGACCATCAACTGCTCATATGCAAGTTGAAGTTGAAGCTGAAGGGTATTAAAACAAGCCCATGAGAGCCCAAATATGACCTTGATTATATTCCTCCTGAATTTAGAGGCCATCTAAAGGACAGACTTGATGCATTGAACACCAATGACCAAAAACCAGAGGAATTATGGGATGACATCAAGAATATCATCCACAAGGAAAGCAAAAGGTCATTAAAAAGACAGGAAAGGAAGAAAAGACCAAAATGGATGTCAGAAGAGACTCTAAAACTTGCTTTTGAATGGAGAGTAGCTAAAGCAAATGGAAGAAATGACAAGGTAAAAGAGCTGAACAGAAGATTTAAAAGAGCAGCTCAAGAAGACAAAGTCAGTTATTATAATGAAATGTGCAAAGACCTGGAGTTAGAAAACCAAAATGGAAGAACACACTTGGCATTTCTCAAGCTGAAAGAACTGAGGAAAAAATTCAGTCCTCAAGTTGCAAATTGAAAGATTTTATGGGCAAAATATTGAATGATGTAAGAAACATCAAAAGAAGATGGAAGGAATACACAGAGTCACTGTACCAAAAAGAATTGGTTGATGTTCATCCATTTCAGGAGGTGGCATATGATCAAGAACCAGTAGTATTAAAGGACCAAGTCGAAGCTGCACTGAAGAAACTGGCCAAAAACAAGGCACCAGAAATTGAGGGAATATCCACTGAGATGTTTCAACAAATGGATGCCACACTGGAGGCACTCACTCAGCTATGCCAAGAAATTTGGAAGACAGCTACCTGGCCAACTGACTGGAAGAGATCCATATATGTATCCATTCCAAAGAAAGGTGATCCCACAGAATGTGAAAAGTATTTAACAATATCATTAATATCACATGCAAGTAAAATCTTACTGAAGATAATTCAAAAA